ACAGACATACACTCTAAAAAATGCTGGGTTAAATACAACCCAGCGCTGTGTAATATATGGACAAACCCAGCGATTGGGTTGTTTTGACCCAGCAGTTGGGTTACTGCCCAGAAGGTTGGGTTAAACATTCAACTCAATTGTTGGTTAAAAACAACCCAATCGCTGGGTAAAATATGGACAAACCAAAAAAAATGGGTTTTATTTAACCCAGAATTTTTTAGATTGTACATTTCATACATATTATTTATCTATCTATCTATCTATCTATCTATCTTTCTATCTATCTATCTATCTATCTATCTATCGATCTATCTATCTCTCTGTCTGTCTGTAGGATATTTTTTGTGAGAAAAAAATAATATCATATTCTCCCATCTCTCTAACATGTTTTCATAATAATACAGGCATTTGTTTATTATACAGTATGTGATAAAATTTTCTTCACATTTTCTGAATGTCTCAAGATTATGAAAGGTATTTCTCAGTTTTCTTTCTTTTTAAACACTCCCCACAGATTCCCCGAGTTCTCATGTGCAAACTTTTCAAACCATTCAGACTGCTTCTGCAAGTGTAAGCTCACCAATTCCCCCGTTACTTCAAACTTAAACTAGCAATGTCAAACTTGTACTAAGGCCTGAGTGATACAAATTGATATTGATTCTGTCGTGGCAGCTAGCTCAGAAGTGAGAAGAATCTACACTGTGCTGAGGCTCAGAGGTTTCCCCCATGCTTAATTTCAAACCAAGCAAATAGTTGTTGGATTCAATTACTCTAAACAGGAGTAATAATTTAGTCTGACGTTGAGGAATTAGAACAAAATAAAAGCACCAAATAATCTCAGGATTACAGAGCCCTTGTGTCTGTGATCATTTCTGTTGTAGTTTACATACACAAATTAGTACAAATTATTATGTGTATTACTAGTAACTAGCCGTTATGCCATTTCAGACCCCCTAAACTTCACAGCTCACATTGTTTGAACTGAAATCCCCTCACAGAAGGACAAATAAAACAGCTGTCTCTACAACATATTATGCTCGGCCATTGTGCAGTTCTCAATTTTTCCACAGACAGACTTTTTCGGTTCATCACAAGAGGGGAAGGAAGAAGGGAAGAGCTTGGAAAGGAAAAACTCACCGGTGCCGTTCTTGTGCTTCCCCAGGAAGTCACACCCTTCAGCTCCAGCTGTGGGCCAGGTTAATCAAACGGTTACAAAACAATTTCAAAGTCATTAAGAAAAGAAATGCCCTGCACTAATAAAGCCAGACCAGCTGGCTTTGAACAGAAACCCGATGTGGGTTGCTTTGCCCCGCAAACTCTCTTGGATCTGTTGTTATGCATACACACAGAAATGAGGCACTTGTGCCCTAAACACACACCCCCAGAAAAAGTCGCCCGTAAGATTTGTGGCATAAGAATTTGGCAGTGCCTGATCTCCACCTGTTCCTGTCTCTCCAGGCTCAAAGGTAAATTTAGACTTGAGAGATATCAGTGACAGTCAGACCTTTGTCATTGAATTGGTGTCCCAACTGTCATCAAAAACATCAAACAAAATGGGACAAGCCTTACCTATCTATCTATCTATCTATCTATCCTACATTTTAATTACAAAAGCATTGTGAGGGTGTTGAATAAAAGCAATTGATCACCATTATTTCTGCAAGGTTAAAATTCATACCACACACATTATTCGGACAGCGACACAATGTGTATTTTCAAGAAATATTTATACCAATCCAATTACGAATGATAGTTTAACCTGGAATAGCGCAACTACAGGGAAGACAAGCATTTACCACTTCAAAAGTATATTCCCAGGGGCTCACGAAATTCCATTCTCTCAGTGACATCACATTTGTATTGACCCTGTTTATAATATCCTGAGGATATTTGACCTTTAATGGGAATGGGTTTTGGTAAGAAGGAATGAGTTCATCATAACATAGCTAATGGGGATTTCATTGGAATGGGACACAAAAATATGACAAAAAGCAGTAAAAGTGTTTGCTTACTGTAAAAACACTGCAACAGGATGTAGCCGAGGTCAGTCACAAGGGAGGAGGAAACTATTAAGGGGGAAAAAAAGCATAATTATCCCTTACTGTACAGAGCACTCAGTAATAAAAGCATAATTTGTTTATAATTGCATTTATTATGGGCCCTCCCCACTTATCTTAACTTAGTTACAATACCATGCCTTATTCAGCATCCAGAACGACAACCTGGAAAACTGCATTTCTGAGTCAGCACACCTTTCTCGTTTTCTCCTTCTTTTTGCATTATTGACACACTATTTTCCTATTTAATACTGTAAAGCTGCTTTGACACAAAAGAGCTATATAAATAAAGGTGACTTGACTTGACTTGCTGTCTCTCTCCTCTCCACTAAATTACTCACAGACAGTTATTTCCTATATTTAATAATCTAATTTTTAAGCTGGAATGTCTCTGCTGGCCAGCGAACGCGCTGTTAGAGCGCTCAATGCTGGACACAAACGGCGTGTTCCAGCGGCAGCAGCAGCAGCAGCAGCGTGCAGGAGTCTGGCTGTCTGTGCAGCTCTAGAGGAAAGAGGGCGAGTGTGGCAATGTACAGCAGCAGAGACGCCCCAACCATCAACCACAGGAGCCAGCCCGGCTCCCCCCATGAGGCATGCTGACTGGACCCAAGTGTGTGTGTGAGAGGGAGAAAGAGAGAGAATAAGAGTAGGATTTGTCCATTTTTTTTTTTATGTGTACATTTTAGTGTGGGAAGTATGTCTGTATTTTACACGTGTGTTTTGTTATCTTAAAGGTGACAGAAGACTAACAGGAAGCCCAAAACGGCATCTTTTCTTTCAGCCTTCAGTGCAATTTCAATTTTAGTTTAGTCGTTGACAGCACATTAACAGTAATTATCTTGATGAATCTACTGACAGATTTATTTTTCTGTAATTTGTTGTTATAGCAGTTAGTACTTCATAGCAACAAAATAGCACCAGAATATATTTTTTATTAACTCCAATAAAATAGTAAATAATAATAATAAAGAATGAAATGTAAAAATCTATACTGAAAATAGTAAAAAAAAAAAAAAAGATCTATAAAATATGTAAAATAAAAAGAATTATTTCTGCTTCAAAAATCTCACTGAAAGTGATTGTTTACCACAAAAATAAAGTTGTCATCATTTAATCATCCTCATGTCGTTCCAAAAACTGCATGACTTCTTTCCCACAGAAACCTTTTGGTTTTCCTTTTGGTCCCACTTTATTTTATATGGCCTTAACTACTATGTACTTACATTTAAATTAATCATTTGGCACAATGCACTTATTGTGTACATACATGTTTTTACATTGAACATATTTTTAAAAATACCTGCTTGTAATTACATCTTTAATTAATTTCTGTAATTACATTTATAATTACTGTTGACCAATCCCTTACACCTCTACCCACCCTTAGACCTACGCATACCACTAAACCTGTCCCTAACCTTACCCATATCCCACCTCAATAGCAGCAAAAGTGTTTTGCAGTACAATATGAAAAATAACTACATGGTACTTATTTTTTGATGTAAGTACATAGTAGTTAAGGCCACCTAATGATACGGATTTCGTTGGAACTATTATTTCGTTGCAAAATAGAACAAACATGACAATATTCTGTTTAAAATGTAGGCTACATTTAAAATGTTCAATGTTCACACTTGAACTGTTGTAAAAAGTGTCACATTTGCCATCGTTTGGATATTCAAGGAAATTTGCATACTGGCTGGTATTCTAACATGAAAACAATAACTCGCACAGGGTATTTTGCTCTTCATGCCATTAAAGGCACAATATGTAATTTTCGCCGCTAGAGGGCGCGTATTCAAAATAAACAAATAGACAAAGGTGTAGTTTGATGACGCCGTGACTGAGTGTGGAATCATGGGAGTTGTCGTCTTCATCCCCACAGCAGAAGCAATCCGACGGGACTCGGGCAGAAATCATGTTCATAGATGAGCTAATGATTTATTATTGAAAGTTTATTGAAAGTGACGTGACATAGTATGGTGACCCGTACTAGGAATTAGTGTTCTGCATTTAACCCATCCAAAGTGCAAACCCGGAGCAGTGGGCAGCCATTTTTGCTGCGGCGCCCGAGGAGCAGTTGGGGGTTCGGTGCCTTGCTCAAGGGCACCTCAGTCGTGGTATTGAAGGTGGGAGAGAGAGCCGTACATTCACTCCCCCCACCTACAATCTCTGCCGGTACGAGACTCGAACCCGCAACCTTTGGGTTACGAGTCCGACTCTCTAACCATTAGGCCACGACTTCCCCACATATCGATATCGGTTGATATCTAATAAATACGGTGATAAAACTCTAAAAATGCGTGCACACTGGTGCATTTACAAATGTATGTTTTATATTCATTTTATTAAAGGTGGGGTAAGCTGTCGGCGATTTGTCATGTAATGCTGCGCAGCATCCAGTGTAGACCATAGATATGTATATATATCTATGGTGTAGACATCCACACTGGAGAGAAACCATCAATAATCATCACTGAAACACTAACAGTAGAACATAAATACAGATAGATACAGATTAAATATAAAATACAACT